AGTTCTCGGTTCACATACTGCTGAAGCCTAGCTTGTAGGATTTTGAGCATAACCTTGCTATTTGTTTATATAGGCTTAGCCATTTCAAATTGCCAACCATACTAAGGGTGGCTATATCTTTCTGCGCTTCTATGTCTGAGATTCTTTGAGCAGCTCTCTTTTTGACTTGTTCTACAGTTGCACCAGTGACTGGAAGACCACAGCTTCTTATATAATTTGTCAATTGTATAATCCAGGAGGTCTGTGACTGGGATTTTATTTGCTCTAGAAAACACAACTTTGGAAGTCTGTCAGTCTCCATTCCATTAATTTTGCACCAATAATTATATGCTCTGGTTTTAGCCAGTGAATCGATTGTATGAATACCCAGTTTGGCCCTAACTGCAGCAGCAGAGATCCTTTTGTCTACACCCAAAATACTTCTTAGGTGCTGGTATTGTGTTTGTTCTAATAGTGAGGTGGAATTTAGGCCCCAAACTTCTGCTCCATATAAGAGCATAGGGGTAACCTTAGCTTTGCATACTTTGATTATTCGGGCTAGAGAACCTGGGTAACTATGATTTTTTAATTTAAGCAGTAGATTTAAATGTGCCTTTGCTCTGAGTGAGCTCCGTTGATGATGACAAACACAAGATCCAGTCTCAGAGAAAGTTACGCCTAGGTAAGGAAAGGCGTTAACCCGTTCAATTGGTTCACCGTCTAATTGCCATCTGTGTCTGCAATGTTTTCCAAGCACAATAATTTTTGATTTTGATTTATTAATGATTAAAGAGTGATCCTGACAATAGGAGCTAAGTCTTCTTAACAGCCTACGCGGTCCTACTTGCGAGTATGATAATAATATCATATCATCGGCGTAGAGCAAAATGTTGCAATATGTATTTAGGACCCTAGGCACGTGTACCGTGGGATCTTTCTTTAATCCTGGTAAGTCACTGATGTATATATTAAGTAATAATGGTGCTAGCATGCACCCTCGTCTTACCCCTTTGTCTGTGTTGATCCTATTTGCCATAGCTCCGTTAACCCCGAACCGCACTCTCCAACGGGCCCTCGTACAGAGAGCTTTGACCAAAGCCAGCAGTCAGGGGGGTATTTCAAGAGCTGCCCGTTTACGCCATAGTCCTTCTCTATTTACCGTGTCAAATGCTGCAGTGAGGTCTATAAGAGCAGCAAACAGGTGTCTCCTCTTACAGACAAATTTGGCAATCAGATGGTTCAAAACAAACCAATTATCAACGGTAGATCGGCTTTGTCTGAAACCTGCTTCTTCTTCTACGGGAATGTGCTTTTCATCTACCCAACATTTGACTCTGTTCAGAAGGAACCGA